AACCTATGTACACCACCACAAATTCCCCAATAAACTACCCAAGGGGCGCAGCCCCCTAAAAATTTTGATTTCTAGTTTCTATACAATAATAAATACACTATAAGAGCTAGTTTAGCGTAACGTGCAAAATTATCCTAGCGCTTCTACTTCAGGGCAGGAATAGTCAAACATGTAGTGTATAATAAACTCTGATACTGTGTGAATTTTTAGATCGAACAAACGTCAAATATTTTAACTCGAGATATATTTATATCCATACTTGTTGAACGAATTACTGCGTAATTGCCACTAGAAATCGTAAATATTCATCTGCATAATGATAACTGATGATATTATGTGCGTTTATTGCCAATAAGTAACGGCTTTCTCCTAATATTCCAGGAAACAAGTCTAGCAAACAACACAAGCAAATAGATTGGAAACATGCGGAGATGTGGATTTTTAAAGTTAATGTTCCAAATAAGCGACATACAGTTCTATATAATTTCAAATGTTGTTTATATGGTTTCGATAGGTGTAAAATTTGCTGAAAACATTCGATCGATCTGAAATTTACACGACATTTGGGTTTATTATACACTACATGCAGGGAAATTTTCAAGTCGTTTGACTATTCCTGTCCTGAAGTGGAAGCGGTAGACCTTTGTAATTACTAAAACTCACTGTAGTGGATGTCGCATGTACAATAATTTATGCGCTGCTTCCCATCACTGATCTCATCGTTTTTTCCTCAGAGGAATCGTCACTCAATATGTTTCTGTTCGTATCGACGAAAACGAGCCATCTTTAAAATATTTTCTGGAAAAACTTTTGTACGTCCAGCTTTTCTTTCAGTTGGTTGAGGTATCGCGAAATAATAATAAATGTCGGTTTGACAGATTCTACTTTTCTTAAGACGTGAATTACTTTCAAATGGTTAAATTCAAAATTTTCCTAATTGATCAATAGTTTAAGCCGTAACTTTTAATGGCTTATTATTGTGAGCAGAGTTGTATTGCTATAAATTCAATTACAAATATTAGCTTACGTTTTCATTTTATCGAACCCACTAAATTTATTAACATTTTATCAGAAATAAAATTTATTCTTGACTGTAAACTGTTCTAACTGCCCACAACGAAAGTTGTGCGAAACAAAGATTTGAATTTGTTTGACAATTTCAAACAACCATAATAACAATTGCTTACATTAAATTTAAATTTAGCAAATTTTCTATCCGGTAACACTGCACATGTAGTTAGTCTATTTATACTTATTCATGTCTAGTGCTCTTCTGGTGGTTCGAAAATTGCTTTATTGATGCTGAGATTAAATTGGAGTCAGAAATGTGTCTGTTAAAGTTTAGAATGTGGTTACGCTATTCACGTGTCAGAAGGCAGAGACGATATCGCTTACCTTTTTATTTACGATTGAGGCACAAGAAGTCTTCTTGGGTGGGTAGTGCAAAAAAAGCGCGGTTATAAACGGATACTAATTAAGAAAAGTGTGGATGCATTAAGCGCGCTAAGTAAGTCTATTCTGGATTTATACGTATAAACGCTGACGGGCTGTTAAATCCTAGTGGATGTCATGATCGGTGACATGACTTATTGATAAAATCGTTTCAATAGATACGTGTATCTCCTTTACTTAATAATAAAGATTGTAAACACAGCCGGGTTTTTGTAAAACTTAATGTGAATAACCAATAATATCAAATATAAAAAACAATCTTTAGTAATAATGATTACATTTACCCATGTGTTTGAGATACAGGTACGTGGTTTAAACGTTGGTGCATTCTGGTGAATGCTTGATTGGTGTTCTTGACATATATGTTTAGTTGTTCAAATTTATTTAAAACGTGTATACATATTTTATAGTCCAAGAGTCTTAAAATCGATTGCCCGCTTGGATATTACTATAATAATACATGTAGACGATATTATGTCTTTCATTTGTTGATTGCTCGAGCCGAACGTTGTACTTTTTCGAACAAGTTTAATAAAGATGCTTGACAATATTATAGACTTTTCTTGTCTAAGCGACAAAACATAAACACGTTTAACCCCTCCCATTCCATAAATCCATAGATAAATCTTAACATAAAAAAAAAGCAAACAAATCTTAATCTTAAGCGTAGGGGCAAAAAACCGAAACCTCTACGCAAGTAAATTATTCAAAATAAAAAAGTTAATGTGTTGATTTCCTGACATTGCGACGACGAAGAAGATATCTATATACCGTAATAAAAATGTTAGAGTTTAACAAAGAAAGAGTGAATAAAAAATAAACTAATAATTCTATAAAGTTATACCTGGTCGATAATAATTATTCGAAAATTGAAACGATAACGAATGTAAGTTGATAATTGTGGCGACTAACTTGATTTATATTCGATAATACGTTTTTCTCAAAACATTTGAGTAATGGTATATGGATTCGCGACATACGGATACAGTTCGCTGTCCATATCAATAAATGCGTAAATCTCTGGTTGAAAATCATTTACTGAAACGTAATCGGTGGGCAATTCTCCTGATAGTACATGTGTATATAATGGTGGTGAGGGAGGGGGAGTCATCAGATTACGCGTATGTTCGACCTGAGGCATAAATGTTGTCATAGATGACGGTCCTGGCGTGCAATCACTTTCTGGCAACGAAGGAGGTCCACAATATGGTCTGAAGGATAGTTGTCTTCTTGGTACGGTATAGGTAAAATCTGGAAATCTGATAGCATGTAATCGGCTGACGTCTTTCGCCAAACACTGATAAACGTCCTTTTCTTCTTGGGTTGAATTTGCCCACAAAATTGAGCTTACTTTGCTGATTACACGCATATTTGGGTGGTCAATACAGCGACGAGCTTCTTCTGCTACGTTTTTTCGTAAAAGAAGAAAAGCATTCAAAGGCCTTGGTGGCCTGCGATTTCCAGCAACATCAGGAACGAGTGTTTCTGGATCGTTAAAGAAGGGAGGAAATATGCGATCCCTACTCAACGTAGAAATATAATATTGTACCAATTCGGAATTTGCTCTTGCCATGGAAACGATAAAACATGAAACGATGGCTTTTTTTTTCGAACGAACTTGATCTTTATATATAATTTGGCGGTATTACAACACGTACATTTATAATGGCAATATAATGAAATATAACGCTATAATAGTCAATTTACTCATGCTATCATAACATATTATATGTATACACTGAATTATATCATATGTACAATATTTAATTATTTTGGATTACGTGTTGCTGTTAAATATAGAGAACAGGTTTCTTCTTATTATGTTAACTTTCCAGAATCGATATGACGTAAAGTGTCATCCAGCTGGGGGAAATTAAAAATCAGTAATCGGAGTTTGAAGTATTGTTTCATTAATGAAAAAAAAAAGCGCTGCATTACCACAATATTACTAATTGATAATCTGTTGTTTACTGGGTAAGATTACGATCCACAGAAGGATCGGAGGGAAAATCCGCTTACAAGTGAAATTCAATGCTCAAAATAGTTTCGTGTACATACTTGGGCACTTGTTATAGCTGTGTCACAAATTTGCGTTCAATATCCTCGATGCCCAAATATATTTCGATACATACGATACATTGTCTCTTGGCCGTTCTGGTGCATGACGCAAACGTTCGAATGCAATTCTTGATTATTGTTATGTTACGATAAATGGTTATTAATAGCCGATGTGATTTTTCAGTGTTTCGTTTCTTTCAATTACGAGCACAAATATTACTGGTTATAGGCAATTGCGTTTAAGGGGAGGCAATTATAACAATGGCATTCACTTCACAGGTGTTGTATTTCGGCGAAAGGGCATTTGATTGATAAAAACACTTCATTTATTTCATCGATAATTATTCGCCGGCAGTTGATTCACTGAATTGGTCTTTCTATTTATAATGGATGATGTTTGTGTTTTCAATCGGATCGAAATGTCGGTGAATTGATTATCGGTGAAATTATTGTCGGGGTTGTCGGTGAAATCAACCGTCTATGAGAAAAGCCAAACATCGCAGTCAAGAGCTAATTGCTAGAATAGATGTCAAATTCTCTGTTCCCGCCTTTTTTCTTTATAAAATTTCTAAGGTTGTCGGTCGTCGGTCGTCGGTTGTCGGGTACTCTACTTTATTTCCTAATTTCTAATACCCAATCCCTTACTTCCTCAATGAGCTGTGGCAAAATATAACATCTGTGAATTGAATTGTCGGTGTTATGATACGGACGCATGTTCTGGAAATACGAACTTCAGCCACAGCCGGTATTGCTTCTAAGGTTACACAACCCAGTAACAATGTCATACTTGTTGAAAATGTGTTTATAAAGAGGTGACTATATAGAGGTTTTTCTCAATAGTAATTGATGCTCAAATGAAGATAATGTACTTCTAGGGGGTCGACTATAAAGGAAATCGACTAGTTGTTTCTTGATAAATACAAATGCAACAAAAATAATAAATAATAAACATTAGAATCTTCTCCTCGGAACTTTCGAACGCATATTATACCGACTGCGTACTAGTATTTTTCGTTGACAGTAGCAAATATGGTCTTTTAAACTATAGTATAATAAATGTTTCTATTAACGTTTTGACTTGACGATAAAAGTTTGTTACTATTGATATCCACAATATATCTTTCCGCTTTAATCGAAGCTTAACTAACATAAGCCAATGACATATTTAATCGTTTTGCTAGTTTCTGCATTAGTAAACCCATGTTTGAATGCTTTGTTATATAACAGATGTAATCCCTACCACGAATGACACATAAGACAGTATTTGTTTTTTGACATTTGTCATTCACAGGTTGAGTAAAATGGCCTACAACGAGTCCAAAACCGATAGAGACTTTTTTTCTGCTCGTTGTACCAGATTGCATCGGATTTTCGTCCATCCCACATTTTAATGACTAGCCCTGGCAGATATTGGCTCTTGACTTCCTCTGATAATATACCCAAAACACGAGCTCCGTATTTCACTGAATCAAATACCCTTCAGCATTTGGAGATCTAATTTCGTAAAAGATCGGGCATTATTTTCGAAGCTTCAAATAAATATTATAAATAATAATTTTATTAGGGTGAGTAAAATATATATTCTCATGTTATAATAACGTCCCCGATCAAGCACATTTCATTTGTCTCCTCTAATTCATCTGTTAACTATCTTCTACATTAGCATAATTGAATATTCGATCGTCTTCATCCATGGATAAGGGATATTTTACACATATGTAATCCCCTACATCAAAATACTTCCTTACATCAAAATACCAGAGCCAGGGAAATACGGTAAGTTGTGCGTATGAACGAACAAGAGTTTTTCACGCACTTCTTTGAGAGAAAAGTTATGACGATTCAAAAAAAGACTATTAAGTCACAAATTTGAGGCTTTGAAGCGTCAGCTAGTACATAATTGTTTCACATAGGATTAGAACGCCGCATATATTTCCTCCCTCGCGTTGATTCAATATCCACTTTCATACGTTTGTAAAGCATTCATTCCTACTTGCATACTCAACAGCATCAAAGTTTCAGGGCAGCGTGATAATGTTTGCTTGTTTCTTCTGGACACTTTAATGCTATATAGTTAAACATTGCAATATGACTAATGCTGTATTTATATAAATTTGGTTTACGAACGGCAGCCTTTATGATGAGATTTACGAAGAACACGTGTATTCTGGACGTAATAACGTACAGACAAAAACCTCCAAGTGCACGCTTCATCGTGTGCATTTAGAGGTTGACTGTTTCTCCTTCCATTAACAAATCTTGTAAGCACATGCGTCTTCTCCACTACTGCACTTACAATAGGATCTCAGTACTGTTATCCATACATATACCTCATCCAAGTCTTCTTAAAATTTGGTCTGAACTCGCATGTGTTAATACACATAAACAACGATAGAGCGACTATCCGTTGTCCCTTAGACGCATGTATCAATTGACAGCTTACGGCTACCAGTTGTTCCAATTCACTTTCTAAAACGCATATATTAGTACAGACTATGTAATAACCATGAACAACGGACGGTAGCAGACAAATAAACTTCTCCTTTGTCAGGTGCGTTCGTTTAGGAAATATAAAAATTATTGCACGTGGAGGATATAGGTGTGTTTTAAGACTTGGAGGTTTTATCTGATTACTTGATTACTATTACTGTCAACCAAACCCCCTAAAGTTGTTGTTTACGTGACGGTTTACTGCTCATGTTCATTTTCATATGATCGAAAGTAAAGGTCAATTTCACGTGACTCTTGTTCACGCCATAATCAAATGTAAAGCCGATGCGAAATTAAGTGCAAAACAAGCAAAACGCATGAAATTAATATGACGAAAAGAGGGAGGGCCGGTTCCCGGTAAATGACTATTATGTAGAAACTAAATGATCGAAAGGAGAGAGAGGTGGGATGCTGTATGCTGTATGTCGTCATCAGCGACAGCCGCCAAATGACAAGTTCGCAGCAAAAACGCTCGATTATAAGGCAAATACTAACGCTATTATATTCTCGTACTAGTGATTATCTAAAAAAAAAAAAAGCCCGGGACCTGAAAAGTTTATTAGCCAAATGATGTCAAGAAATTACCCCTAATCTATAAATCGGTTTTTCCTCCGTAAAACGGCTTTGCTTAAAAAGGAATCCATTAAGATCGGTAAACGAGATAAGAACAAGAAGCAAACTTTGCCCTCGAATTACATCCCAAAAGATCACAATACAAAAATGCCCTCTCTTATTTAGGTTATGATACTACGCCAATCGTGATATCCGTACAAAAATGAGTTTTTTTTTTCTTAGCATTATGCATTTTGCGATAATACTCGATTGTTCGGGCAGTTCCATATAACGTTACTTGGTGAAAAAAAAAAAAAAAAAAGAAAGAAAGAAAAAAAAAAGAGTCTTCTCATAGCCGCAACGAAGCCACACTCTAATACGATCAAGGTTGCGTGCTTATACGTTTTAATACCCTTAGAGAGTATAGCGAATATGCGTGCATTCTGCAATATTGGATTTTACTGGTGCATGGAGACAACGACTTTATGTCTTGTGTATAACACGTGATAAGAATGCACTAGCGCCATTCTGCATCAGAATGTGAAAAAGAATACATGCAAGGAAGCGCGATTTTGCCTTCGTTCTTCCAATGCTACCACCCGATTATAAGATTTTATATGCAACACTACTGTTAAGAAAATTGATTATCACATTTTACAATAACACACAAAGTTTTTTTTTTCTTTCAACCGTCAGACTTCTTCTTCTTCTTGGTTCGTTTTATTTTGCACAATTTTTAAGTGGACAAATGATTAAGTGATGCACAAGGTGCAAAAGAATATCTCAAATCTACAACGATCTCACATTCAAACTTTGATAATGAAAAAGGGACTATGTAATAATAATATTAATAATAATTAACTATCCTATCAAAAGTGCAACTGGAATGAAATACATATTGTTTTAGCATAACCCTTCAGGTATAATAATAAAAGGAAGACGGAAAATAACTCGTATGTGAGGGTGAATTTTAAAAAGTTTGCTTAGATTATATCAAATTGGAAAATCTTAATTGTGGTTTTTGTTAACATATCATATGTGAAAATTAAATCATATTACCGTAGATACTTAAAATTTTTGATTCCAGTGCTCTTTTTCTTGCAAATAGCCAAAAATAGAACCGAAAGGACCGGTGTTGTTTTTGAATGTATGCGCGTGATCCAGGAGGAATGTGGTAGATTAATTGATTGATATTCTTGAGAACGTTGAACTTGAAAAAGCATCACTCTTTGTTCGCGGCATGGGGAGGGGCTCACTTTGCTTCGGAACCAAGTTGAAAGTACAGTCCCCGGTGGACAGTAAAGATTCACAAGGTCGATGGGATCTTTACTCGGAGCCGAAAGGTTATGTGTGTCGTTGATGTTGAAATATAATACCTCGGTTGTTACGATGGTGTAAGAAAGAAGAAAGATATGAATGCCAAAAAAGAATAATGAAAAGAAAAAAGAAAAGGAAACCAGAACTAAATAATGAAAATTTTTAAATTTTTTTTATCCCGGGGAGAAGGGAATTAGTAATGCCAGGTCTATTATTTTCATACCTATTAATAAGGATGAGTGTCTATAGGAATGTCCCAAGATGTTTTAGAAAAATAGTAGTGATGTACGGAATAAGGAATAGATAAATATACAGAACAATAAGGAATAGGGAAAAGGTGGAATAAAGGGAATATAATAGGTAATGAGATAATAAATTGATAGATTTCTATTAACACTATGTAAGGGAAATCATTTACACCATCGTATCGCCGAATGTATTATTGTTCATAACTTGCATTCTCCGTTGAGCGTGAGAAATATTGCCGAGTCGGTATACCTCTTTTTCGCTGACTTGTTGACAGTGTACAGCGAACAGATAATTGAACGTTGTAGAAATGGGGGGGGTATACATGTATGTTCACCAAAGGAAAAGCTCAGTGAAAGGAACCACTAAAAACGCAACACTTTCGACCGATAATTGTGATTTTTGTAAAGAGCATTCAAGAACAATAAGTATTAAATATACAACCAGAATGAGTAATGAAGCCACTCTTTCTGTAAATTATTATAAGAATACAAAAGTGTGAAGAAACATGTTGACCATTCCCTTGCTCAAAAAAATGTCAATTTTTTAGAGCTTTTTTTTTTTGTGCTGGTGAGAGAGGAGGGATGAGGAGGGGGAGGGTGTCGATTGAGCCTGAAAGTCGACCAGCCAGATGACAAAGCAAACACCTAGTCACTATAGAAACCAGAATCTTCTGTTTTGTGCATAGTGTTTGCAGCACGAGTTGGTGGACGAGAGATGAGCCTGTATATCGGTAGGCCTTTATTTGTCATCCCTATCTTCTCAGCAAGGAGCACGATATCATTACACTCGATAGCATATAGATTGAGAGCGTATAGATTCCGTACAGATTGGCGTTTTGGGTTGTCGGAAGCAACAGTGAGAGATTTCTTCAACGATGGCTTCTTCATTAATGAATCAGATTTCTGACAGGCCGGTCTTTCGCCGAGCAACTGACGGTTGTCTACAGCCAATTTGAATCCTCCTAATCCGTGAATCCTGGACTCTAACTCCCGCAGCCTCTGTTTATTCTCATGGGCGAGTTTCTGTTCTTCGACGTCTCTTAATATTCCGTCCAACTTTTTCTTGAGCGTTACGGTGTCTTCATAGTCTGGACCATCTCTGTTTGTGCATTTGAGAAGGTTTTGGATGAGGAGTGGGTATTGAAGCAAGCGTTGGAATGGTTTGAGAAGGTAGGTTGTGAGAGGGAGGTTGCGGCATCCCCCGAGTTTCTTGACTCTTCTGCCAAGCTTATCCTTCTTGCGGATTGAGTCGTTGAGCTCCCTTAGGGCAGCCTCGTAGTGAATAAGGTATGGGGCGTATGCTCTAAAGACCCATGCGTAGGCTGAAAGTATGTCTGAAATGTTTCTGACGAGTGGCTCTTGTTGTTCTTGACGTTCCTTTAGACACTATACAAAGCGGGGAAATACATAAATACCAAAAACGCAACACATGTATGCCAAGTGCACTGATATGACAAGGTGTATACTTACAGTACTGATGACCTCGTGAATGAAAAGGAAGTATGAAATTGAGTTGAATACTTTGTTTAGATTTTCTGGAAGTTGCTTATTTCTGTATGTCTGTTCTTCTTCTTTGATCGGTTGGATAAAGTTTTTCTCGATTAAACGAAGGTCACGCACGTATCTAATATTAAAATGATGATAAGCGAAAATATACGTGTTATTATAAAATAGTATAAATAATACTGTATAGTATAAATAAATAATATCAGATTTTGATATGATAGACATTAAGGTTGTATAACCGTCGATCTTTCCTTTTCCCCCAATGTTTATGGAGGGAAGAGGGAGAAGATAGATAGCGATGGTTATATTGGGGGGGAAAAAACCGATAGACAGCAAGGCGAAAAAAATATGACAACCGTAGTGACAACAAAAGCGGTATCAAAAGTGATATCAAAGGCGGTATCAAAAGCGGTATCAAAAGTGATATCAAAAATGATATCAAAAGTGATATCAAAAGCGGTATCAAAAGTGATATCGATGTTCTGTATATATTAGCACAAAAGATGATATGATACTCACTCTTCCTCAGTTCTGATGATTTCAAATATCACTTCTTGCCTGTTGAGTTCAGTCGCGGATATGTTTGCGACCAAGTCGCTATTGACGGTATCTGACCAAATAACGTTTCTCTGCCTTCCGCTATCGGTGCGCTGGACAAGGGTCTGTCTTCTCTGCGATAGACTGTTCTTTTTGTCTGAGAGCGTGGAACCGACTACGTCGCTAGGTTCCTTTGCGGGAGCGGTCCTTGCGGTATTGTGGAAAAATGGGATATGAAGTTTCGCAAGTTTGCGACCCGACATTTTTGATTCTTGCGAATTTTTGTGAGGTTTTGAAACAGCGTCCTGGCGGGGTTTTGTTTGTAGTAAAGGCATTCTTTTTATATAAAGATTTTATAGTATGCCCCAGAAGTGTGTATTAGGTTAATGCAGATTTAGAATAAACAAGATAGTTTTTGATAAACAAGTTTTTTTGGCGGATGGGAACGGGATGGGGGCATATATATATAGGAAAGCAGTTGATATACGCCAACGTCTACTTAATAGAAGAAAGCTACACAAATGCCTATAACAGGCAGAAGCGAAGAAATATGGTTTAAATGAGCATAATTATGATGTTGAAACATTTATATCAAATCAATAATATAGAGTTACATTATATTTTGCAGATCGATGGTTGCATTGCATCCCGAGTATGTTTAACCTACTTTGTCAATTCATTTAGTGTAAAATTAATCTGTATATATTATTTATATTAGTGTTATGACATGACACGCCTAACTTGTTATTCCTAGACTCAATAACGCATACCTATTACCTGTTTAATCATCAACCTGTATCCTTCCATATCCATCCGCTGTTCTCGTGCACACATACATTTATGTTAATGTATCAAACTTGGTATTTTTGAACAAAATAAAACCTATGCTGGGATTTCTCCAAAGCGATGAACATGATTCGTATCTATAATGACTTTCCAAACATACAACATTAAGTTACACGACTTGTGCTAATTATTTGATGTCCCCATGTGACCCCTGTATATAAATATACTCATTATCATTTATACTTATTGTTATTGGTGTAATAATCTTATTGTTAGATTATTGGTATTATTGGTATTATTGGTATTATTGGTATTATTGGCATTATTATTAAGCGTGCTCGATATTATTCGACCTGTCATAATACCGCATACCTGTATTAATATTATAATCGGATCGATCCCTTTTCACAATGGAACAAATGTAAACAGTCTCGAGCAGAACAAATGAATACACCGAGACTAAGAAAAAGCAGTCACACCGATTATTACCAAAAAAGGAGAGTAACCAGAAACAGAAAAGAAGAGAAAATGTACAGAAAGAACAAAGGTGTATCGTTAACCATATGCTTTAGGTTTACCATATCCGAGGGATTGCATCGGTAACAAACATCTTTTCTTTTTACTCTCGCCGCCCAACATGCCACATGATTACTTAATGCATCTCCACTATCAGCATATCTATACATTCAGTATGCAGTTTATTTAATTAAAGAAATCGATATAAACTTATAGAGCGGTTCTCTTTGTAGTCGTGTAACCCTAACCCACCACATCAGGAAACTTACGCTAGCATCGTCAAACCTGAGTACGACAGCACATAATCTTCAAGACGAGACAGACAATGGATGAATAAAAGTTCAAACAACAACAATACGTAATATTTATTCGGACAAGGAACAATCTATTCTGTTCTTATCAGCATTCACCTGCTTTTTTCTATCCGTCATTCTCTAACAATGATTATTTTCAGCTGGGCGAAAAGTTCTTTGTTTTAATAGCAAAAACCTGTTTGCATACTTGATTTCCAATAACTTTAATTGAAAAAAAATTTTTTTTTTCGAATCAGACAACCAATGCCATTCTCTAATTTAATTTTTTTTTCTTTCTACCTTATATGATAAGAAAACAAACCACTGAATAGAATAATTGGCCCGGCGTGCGATGATGTTATTAGTGGAGTATGCAGTTGAAATGTGGAGTATGTGGAGTGAAAGAGTAGGTTATATACAGTACCTATACCAACTATAAATAATATCGAATAAAATATAATTATATCGTTCTTAAAAAGTAAGTTTGTATTTTCAATAATATTAATTAACAAACTCAACTCTTCAAAAATTCCCAATCTAACCATATCGTCTTTGTTCGTTCGGCGTGTTCTCAATCCTTTTCCATACAGAAAAAAAATTTTTTTTTCTGAAAACGTGAGAGTTGTGATACAGGAAAAAAAAAAGAGAGAACGAGATTAACACATACTCATCCCTTAATATAGTACGTTTACTTGCGATTTACACTGTTTCAGCGATATGCATTGTTTAATTCCTACCCAACACGACGGGAACTTCAATTTAACTGTCCCCTTTCTTGGCGTAGTTTGATGATGGTGGTACGGGGATATCACTAAAACTAACAGTTTGATTTTTATTCGTATATCAAACTAGAAAAATCCCTGTCTAGTCGAAACATAATTAAATTATTGCATGTTACAGTCCAAAACTTACTACACCTATCCTCCAGCTGACTTTTGCCCAGATATAGACAATTAATATACCTGTAACAAGGTCATTTTGCATATATGGTAATTCAAGATATGCACTAATTAAAACGTATCAATTTTCTGGTAGGTTCCAAATATGTACCAAAAAAAAGTTTGCCCCCCCTCCACTTTATCTGTCAACTCACACCGGTATGTATATGCAATCAGGGCAAAATGCGATGCGATACGATATACACAAAAAGCTATTGGTTTATTTAATATTCGAATTCTGGGCTGTTGACCGTTATCGTTAATTCGATCCAAGGGCTGTTCATAACATCGTGTATTGCACCACGAGGTATAAAATAAGGCAACTCTAATCTAATCTTAGTTATAGTGGAATCAGTTAAGCTTTTTGCAATTTGATTCGGTCTTGAGAAAAAGTTGTACAGCGGAGAACGTGGTTATGACATTCATTCATTCATTTATTCATTCATATGCTGTGCACTATCGAAAATGAGACTCAACCGTAAAATTATCATACTTGCATCGGTCGCTGTTAATTATATCTTCGATCATCATAAAGTATCAGATCGCATCATTGGGGGCGAAACGCGATATAGATGATGATAAAACATGAATAATAGAATATGTAAAGGGTAAATAAATTACTGTGATCCCAGACATCACACGGCCTGGTCATTTGACCAAGCATGGATCGGCACAACAATACTGCTCATTATACTGCATGTTAATGATACTCTACATAACTAATGAGAATGTGAGTTGTCACACATCTCAAGCCATCAGAAATTAATAATCCCATATCGTTATATGTCTACGTGAACGAACTCTACCAATCAAAGATAACGTTGAAAAAGACTTGTGTGTACCAATAACATTTTGTAAATGCCTTTAAAGATAGATGCTAAGAATGCCAAGTATATCAACTATGACAAACATTAAAACTCGCTAAATATTGACTATTAACTGACTCCCCCAACTCGTTCACACACTTCCAGCTGCTACATTTCCAAATACGTCAATTAAGAACAAATTTCTCCCACGATGCTTTTCATTTGTTGTGCGAAAAAAAGAATAGAAACTCTCACAACATTATAAGATCGATAATGTGTACATTCTATATTAATCGATAATGTCAAAAAAGATAATGTCGATATATCACCATTTGTTGATAAACCTTCATTTTCCAAAAACGATCCTAACCTGTTTGATGCCAAGAATTCCAACATACATGTGTGGTGCCACACTTCTCAAACGATCCAACTTTTTTTTTCTCGATCGACCTGACTATAGCGTTTTCCTTTACAGAGAAAAAGTCTCATGGAATAAACACAAAAGTTGGTGCAAGTAGTATGTACAATGACCCCGTGTATTCAATTTCTGCATTAACACACAATTATTACATTAACCGTCCAACATTACGTAACAAATCACTAATATTGGACAAATTATATTACCGAAATCCGTATTCATCTTCAAAAAGAGATAACCATGAGCTCTGTTTCGGGAAAGGCCATTCTGCCTAATTTGTTTTATTATGTCTTTTTTGGTTTTCGATGAAAGAGCGAATCGGCTATTAGCACTATTTACAACGAATTAACGTCAGTGACAAATTTATTATTGCAAGACCAGATTAAAACGTCTCCTTGTTAAACTCGAACGTTTTAGACATGGTGGAAATTACTCGTAGAATTGATTACCTAAGTCAAAATGTCTCACAATTACCGTTGTTACATATGTATCTGCTTCTTGTTCAACTCTGTTGCTTCCGCTGTTTGTATTCGACCATTGGTTCTAGCAATACCTTTTACTGATACCTTTTTGAACTCATTATAATCATGCCCTCCTGTCGTTTCTGATGAGATGAAAACTTGTTCCAATTCGGTATCACACCAGTATTACGATGTTACAAACGATGCAATGGACAACAAAGACACACGTCTATTAGAACAAGATAGGTAACTGATATATGTAGGAAAGAATATGAAAAGTCCGGGACAAGTCTGGGGACATTCCCTGAATATCAGTATCAGTAAACATGACAGTGCATAGAATATTAAATGTGGATTATCATTGATAAGGTTTAAAATAAAATAAACAACGAATACCAATCATATTCCGCATCAGCAATGTTATAAACCCGTCGAACCCTGCATACGCGAATTTGCATGAACGTAGCAGGACATGTGCAGAATTAATTCCAGTAATTGTCTGAGATTTTACTCGAACATCCAAACATATGAAAGCATGTCCCGTCATGTGTCGTATATATTTCGTACGCAGGGACACAAATTATAAAAGTTAAGTTAACGGAGCATTACGAGCACAAAAGACGTTCGATATTTACAATATTAGTATAGGTTTACGCCAACATTAAAATTTATTCCGAATGTTTGCAATGGCGTGTATTGTCATAAATGTAAGTCTCTTTCTAAATGGGTACAATCTATAAAAAACTTTTTTTCGTTCCTTTTTTAAAAAATTTTTCTCCGAGCAAAGATTATGCCAAATAAATCCGAATAAAGACTTGTTAAAAAAATTTTGACAACTGTCAAACTAATTTATCAAATTTAGGACTTGTCCCCAAAATAGATGTGCATTGCTTTTAAGTCATTGCCCAAGTAGGTATTTCGTAAAACAACAAAAAAATTTTTTTATGCAGGGCGGAGGCGATTCGTCAATTTCATAGGGTTAAAAAAAGACATGCAAGTAAATGGTTCTCTGAATTATTCAAGGCGCTGCCCATACTTGGTGAGAAAAATTTTTTTTCAGGAGAATTGAGAAAGATGGTTGGATGATGGGACAAAATACATGACTGTCCAATCGGGATTGGTGAAATAAATAGAATAAAGAGCGAGATTGGATTATCCACAGATAATTCAATGGGTTGTTTGAGAATAAAGGTAATGTTTACATAATACCGCTAGCACGGGTTGCATAAAGTCATAGACTTTGTCAAACATTCATACGTCAATGAGCAGAGTCGATTTAATCAGAATATTCCAAATGATCTTTGTCCATTGTTGGTTTACTCGCTACGGAATTGTTCAAGTCGCTGTTACCCAACTATCGTCGAATCAAATCAGACGTCAGGGCAATACGCCTAATAACACGCCCCCTGCATATCGTCGTACAGATCACGAAATCCAATTGGGTGTTAACAATAAGCACGTGATTAAACAATCGCGTTTAAGACAAACCCTCTTCCCCAATTCTTTTCTTTTGGTATTCCATTATCTATATTTGTGTTCATAGTCATCAAATAGTATATACAGTATGTTTGTTTCATGTTTACGTTAAGATTGCAAAGGTACCGGTAGTTTATCTTTTCCAACATCATAACCATGATCTACTGATTGGGTACACGTTGACATATGCAATATCAAAATCAAAACTACCATAAACATAAGAACAAAACATAAGCCTATCATGGGACGATTGCCGTAAATGTGAAACGATTGAACACATATTTGAAATATTAACATGCAAGTTTACTTTCCAGTAACTAGATTGTTTGTTAATTGCCTTTCTTTTGTGACATAGCATTAATCAATTGTTACATTAGTGTCAATCTGTATATCACGGATAGGGTGGGGTTACATATCGCTATAATGTTGCAACAGTAGTATCCAATATTATTTGATCTTATTATTACTGTTATTATTTCTCAATTGATTAACATCTCCCCCAAACAGACTGCGGCGATAACAACAACAACAACAACAGCAGCAGCAGCAGCAGCAGCAGCAACAGCAACGTAGTAGCAGCAGTGATAGCTACAGTATTACTATAACTTAATGCTATTGCTATCGCAAACGCTGTCATTATTAAACACTACAATGCCTTTTATTCTAGCCATCATGTTGTTACTCACAAATTTGTTGGGATAAACCAGCGAGAAATCTCCATCTTTAGTGATAATCATGTCAGCTGATAGAATTATCGTTATCTGTTTGTGTTATATTCTTGACATCACTGCACATACTGAAATAATTAGATAATTTGTTATTATCGTGGGAACATTAGGGCGAATGTTTAATCCTAATGCAGCCTATACGCATCTTTAATATGATGCTGTCATATATAACTCTCTCTCACAATGAAACGCTCGTTTCCATCAACAAACAAACCTAAACCATAATAGGCAATTTCAACAGGGGGCTAAGTATAAATGCTATATCTTGTGTTACATCGAGTTGTTCTGTTCATCATATAACGCAAGTAACAGCATTTGCATTACACATATTGTTATCAGTGCATGCAGTTCAATACTGTATAGCGTAGTATTAAATTTCACTCAAACAGGAGACTGGCGTATCAAGTATTGAACAGAGTGCAGATAGAATGTTTTACCACAGGTTGGAATCTATCAATCAGTCGAACAACAAGGAATCGAAAAAAAGAAATAAAGTTTATCTGAATAAAGATTGAAAAATGGGATGGGGTTTAAGGAGAAAACTTTGGTTAGAAAACTGCAAAAACAGTGGATAGCATGCTCGAGTGGAACCTTTTTCGTAAATGTTTATGGTTTGGTGTGACGCGCAAAAACGCCCCCCATTCTTCTAAATTCTATACAGTGGAGGAATGAAAAAACTATCGATTAAGCATCCCGACTTTTATACGCAACCATTGCAAACAAACTATCAAATTTTTGGTCTCTCGTTTTTGAAAAGTTTTCTTAGAATGGAGGAGGGAAAGGCTGTTTTCTTTAGTTTGGCTTGCGATTAGAATGCCTGGCGCTTTTAATCGACATTTTTCCACGCAAAAAACGTAAAATTTTCCGTGGTTTCCAGTTTCATTTGGATTCGGGCAGCTTACAAAATTACAAATATCATTTATTTGTTACACGTACATAGAATTTAAAGATCCGAATCTATAGAAACAGCCATTGCGTTAATGAACTCTCTAATTAACTAGGAGGGAGGGAAGGGGAGATAGTTAGCCGTAAAATTCCTGTGCTAATGTTGACAACGATGGCTGTTTATTTACCAGGGGGGGGGGGGGGGGGGAGGAGAGAAGGGGTCTTTTTTTTTTTCCGGGAACGAGCGATTTTTGAATGTATGTTGAGCAAGTAATTTTGTTTACTTTACTACGACATGATAATCTGTTCCGTGCAGTATTGTATATACATACTGTATATATGCCCGATTATTTTGTAACAATTATGTTGAACTTTGATTTGATGGAATACAGGATTTTTGCGCCAAATACACCATACAAGTTTTCGTTATTACTATAACCTAACATTGTTTATGTACTACAACTCTTGTGTTCCCTCACTGAAACCAATCACGTCTAAATGATGGATGTAATAGTGACTATAATGGATATCAGTATGAAGAACACAGTGAATGAAACTACATTACAAGCGATATATTGTACCAATAGATATATAGCGCAATCGAAATTTCCCACTTTTTAGTTTAAACCATTATTATTGCCGTTGTTGCTGTCGCTGTCGTTGTCGTTGTCGCTGTTGATGTTACTGTTGCTGTTGTTGCTGCTGCTGTGTTGCAATCATCCCTTAATCTTGGGGTAATTATTTATTTATCCCCTGGCCGCCAGGAAATTGATGTTTTTCCTACTCGTCTAAATTAGTTATAATTAGGGTTGGGTGCCACAGATGTTATCAATGCAGAACATTTAACGTTAAAATTGTAAAAATTACTGATAAGTAAGTAACCCCATACGATCGTTCGATATGTCAATTCTGTTTGGGTGTAATTTTCCTAATTTATTTTCAATCTGGGAATTTAACAATATATCAATTGTCTTGATAAGAAAAATGTGACCAAATTGTCCAAATTGTCCACCTGACCGACTAAGTAATACACGCGCTAAATAGTTTCAAATATTATGATGATATATTAATGCGTGTGATACTAATATTTGGGATGGTAAACAATATGATATCAATGTTCTTATGATCAAGTTTTGGTTGTCGGAACGAATATCACCAGTTACTTGTTGCTCTGTGTGTTCTCAAGTAGCGAGCTGGCATGCTTGCATATTGAAGAGAGAAAAATTCCGTGTTTCGATCATCTCGCAGATAAAACGCCCACGCGTGCCATCTTTGATAAAAGAATGACCACAACCGGGGAATGATAACCATATATTTCTTTTTAATTGGTCGTCCCCACTGGCGTTTAGATAATAATAAGGGGATCTGTCATCTGAATGAATTTATTTGTTTCGTATTTGAAATTATTTATTTCATAGTTTATTACTAATGACGCTTTTGGTTAGTGTTTGTCAAAACAGTTATTCAAGTGATCAATCGCAATCTGCCCCAACTGTCAGTCAATCCGTCTGATGAAGTCTCCTCTAAAAATCTTTTGACCATCTCGATATCTCAACCTCCCCCAGCAGATAATTCATCTGGGCGTTCGGTTAGATTACCAACCGTATTTACATGAACCTTCCGCACGTATTAGTATTCCGTATGTGTATCTAAAAGGTATCAATTCACGTGATAAATTTATGAAGACTATTTTCTAATATTATATTACTATTAGTATGACTCTTACTAGTTCATTTATTCTATATCTGCTTTTCTCCGGTTGTCACTCCCTTTATTCCCACTGCTCTCTTTAATTCCGCGGCCTGTCTATGCTTCATCATGGGACTGAAAACTTCATTAGACAGTAAACTCATCATCACCCTAGAGACCATTAATACACTCATTCCAATGCACGCGATTGAAATTTCCTCAACGCGATAATTACTTAGCAACATTCCGTATGACATCCATTTAATGGCAAAGATTCCGATACCAAGATGAAACGTAGATTTAAAGAGAGCGGCCCTGCGCATTGATTTGATAATTGTCTCGGTGCACACTTCGGTCGCATTTACTGCTAGAGCGTAATTACCAGACGACATGTAAGACGTGATTAACCGTTTATACGATCGAGTATCAGGTGTCAGACCGCTTGATCGCATTTGATGTAAAACTTGGTGCGCTAATGAATGACGATTACACTCAACACATACGGCTATATATGCATTATACATGGCAATGGTGTGAGAAACCGGATTCACCCTGGACATGATGCTCTGAGCAATAGAAAGAATGTCGTCTGACATATCATCGTACCGTGTTGGAACATTGCATGTTGATTGCGTTGGTACGTCCAGCCAATATTGTTTCATGTCATCAGACAGAGATTGATATTGATGACCAGAAGGCGGGCAGGAGGCGTATTCATTTCTAAGAGTAAGCACATCGTCGATACGATTTTCATTGTACATGTAATTATATCGTTTAGCATTTGTTTCACGATTACCGTTCGTAAGGTTTTCTTTTCGTCTTTTCATTGTCTGTATTCTCGCGCATGCCTCTAGCGCCGCTATGATGGCCAGTTCGTGGGGTTCAGAATGCTTATGAAATAGTCTATCGACTACTGTTCGTAAGTGATTAGGATCTTTACAATGATGAAACGTCCAGCGCCAACTTTCTCTTGAAGACAAGGATCTCTTTACCGTGTCAAAAACAGAATGATAAGACGGTACTGATGATAAACGAGACCATATCGAATGCGTGGCAGAGAGAATGCTTTGTTTATTGATTACGGTTGAGAAACAACGCACTGTGGAGTTGTTAACATAATGCTGTCTGGTCCAATGAGGAATTCCTTGAGCGTAAAGGTTGAAGAGACAACCATAACGGTTTCTTGTCGGGTGTCTGATGATTATTAATGACATTTGTCAATATTTCGTTCTGTTCATGATCATCTTGTGAATCTTAGTGGTCGCGTGATACGACCCGATTTTGAGATCGGGACGAATAGGACGGAAGAGCAAAATAAACGAGCTTTCTTACATTGACACCGAATTGAGCCCAATGATCTTGGCATACTCACGAAACATTTGCCGATTTCAACTTTCTATCTCTATTAAACATCAATTACGCTGTTTCTCAAATACCCTTATTCGTTCCAATATCGAGTCAAGCGATTCATCTTTACTTATATCACAATGGCACTCTAACATTTCCGCTTACAGTGAAACTTGTTACGATACAATTACTCCAACTCCTATACAATTATTGAATTTAACACTCGACCGCCCCTCGTGCGAGGTTCTTCCTTCAACATCCACGCCCGTACATCCTAATTATCATTTAGCATATTTTCCCACTCGCGTCCCTGAGCGCAAATTGGCATTCGATGGATATTCCAAGACATTCGCTCCCCCCCATCCATTCAGTCAGCGAATGTGGGCAGGAGGAGAACTGCTCTTTTCTAAAAATCCGCTAAGAGTAGGAGACAACGTGAAATTGATTAAAAAGTGTAGTAATGTCGAATTGAAAAGATCGAGCAGGAAACAAGAATTGGTATTTGTCTGGGAGGATAGAGACTTTCACAATGAAAAAGGTTGGAGTCTTAAGGATAGGCGTAATCTAGTTTATATGAAGAAGGAAGAAGGAAGAGCGAATAGTACAAAGATCGTGAAAGGTAAAAGATTTGCTGGCTGAGTGTATTGTTAAGAAGTTTTCAGTAATAAAACGTCATCACTCCTCACATAAAACAAATGTGGTTTCATCAAAGTAATTACGGCAAACGCCTTTTTAATTCTTCATCAGTTGCTAAGGAACCGGATTTCTCCAAAATAATAAACCCAACTTCCATCCTACTTTTCCGATACTCTGCTATAACGTTCAACAGTCATCTTATTCATTATGATCACATCTATGCAACTCTGGTAGAAGGATACAGAGGCGAGTAGATTGTCATAATACTCTTTAGCCATAAATGTTTATTAACATGTTTACTCTCTAGGCTGTCTCGTCCATGGCCCATTGACTTGCACACTCCTCCTTGATCTTCTTCGTGACAATCTGCCAGCCGACAATTGGATAAATGGGTTCAAGTATAGAGCAGTCAATCCACTGGTAGTGAACGAGCCGTTCAGAGTGTGTGGAAAGAAACTGGAAAGACTGGACGAGAAGGGAGATTCGATATACGAAATGTGGGCCGAGACAGCACTTGGCGGAGTAGCGATGAAAGGCAGCGCTACAGTCAACATTAACTAAAGAGGTTCCCATCAACTGTCGCACCCTAAATGTTCGGCGTTCACAAACGTTTAGTTATAAATATTGGTCTAGTTGACGCCCACTTTATTGTATCCGTCTAATAGATGCAAACACTCATCAATCCCTGTGCTCTGTTGAATTTGTATTATCTCTCTTGATATACATTTAGTTACAATTTTCAACACAGTATCGCGAGAGAATTCTGCCTTAGATTTCAGCAACCCTTTGCTCACATACCCGTCGCTCCAATTATCATTAGTTCTACCAGACGATATTTTTTGGACAATGTCATACAGTGTTTCTTGTAATTCGTTCAAACTAATGTCCATGGGGCGACTAGCAATGGCGATGCAGTATGGAGTGAAGAGTGATTGCACATCATTGGCACTTCTTATACTCGAAAATAAATACTTGATCGTATTCTTATTAGGTACAAGAGATGTCGGTAATTGATAAAATGTCGAAAGCACAAACGATCTCAGTTGCTCAGACGACATGGCATTAATAAACGAATTAGCGAGAGATATGTCGACCGGAACAGCCTCTAATCTACCTGCAATTAGTCCCTCGATTGAAGCAGATTCAGTTCGATATCCCAAGTCTCTACAGACGATCATATTATATAGATTCATCATTACATTAGCATCGCCGAGTCTCCCCACAGCCATCAAAATCGTATTCATCAGCCATATTGGCATAATTTCATTTCTCGATCGCAATATTATACTGGGTAGAATAGCAAAAAAGAGCTTTCGTTCAATCAGATTAGCTTTCCCCTGTTCTGCAGTAATCTCGTAACTTCTTCCAACAGCGTCAAGAATGCATTTATATACTCTGGGTCTGGGCTCAAGGCCGTTGTCCCACATTTCTTGAATCAAACGCATCCCACCCTGTACATTCCCATAATGTCCACACGCCTCGATTAACTCATTATAAACGCCCACAGCAACGTCATCTGAACTAGACATTTCCCTCATTCGTAGGAAATAATCAAAACACTTGGAAAATCCTTCTCTATGATTCATACAAGACACGTTAAAGTTCAACCGTCGACACACTTTCATGAATTCTAATTGCGTCGTATGATCAGTTTGGTACCCAGCATCAACAATTAGTGACCAAATCTCATCCAGTTTGACAAGTTCTGTACAGTGGCGTAATAGAATAGCAAACGTTTGTCCGTTTGGCCCCAATTTCAATCGCCTTATTGCATCAAACACAAAATCAGCCCTTTTCTCATTATTCGTTGCGAGACAGGCTTGTAGGAGTGTATTCAGAGAGGCTGCATTAAGTGTTCGTTTTATGAATAGCATCTTCTCAAGAATAGCAAATGCGAAATCCAGATTTTTAGTCTTTGACATTGCGTTCAATAGAATCTTATGCGTTACTACGTCGGGCATCTGCTTATATGATGGCATCATCTCATAAACTACATAATAAATATGATGACATTATACAAAGCAAAAAAAAAAAAAGCCGATTACTTGATAACATCAATATAATCAAAATTTAGCACAAAACCAATACCTTTCGTTGCCTTCTTCACCATTCCCCTCTTGACATAAATCTTGATCAAAGTATTCCATACAACAATATGGTGATGTGAATTATATTCTTCGGTCATAGCTTCTCGTACGTATTTAGCAAACACGGCCTCAGACAGATCAAGTCGATCATAATTAGAGCAGTCTTTCATCATGCATGAAATTAGCCTCACGTAGAATGGTTGATTACGACATTCAGCGCTGACAGTTGCATAAAATTCTAAAGCTTCCACGTTGTTTGTTTTATCACGCGAGAATTTAAGTTCACGCAGTGCATTAAACGCCTACGAACATAACCACCACGTTGATATTCGGTAGAATTTATTAACATCGATGGAAACCATAGATTCTTTAAACGATCTGATATATGTTGTAAATCAGTGTTTCGGAAAACAAACCTTACTTTGGCTGCATCGGTGTTCTTCTTTTCTCTGCTGACATTATTCTCACTATTAGTGCTGACAATCTGCTTGAGGGCTTTTAGAAAGAGCCTCTGATTTGGCAAACATTGATCTTTGGTTTGAACGGCTTTGACTGGAACAGGAATTACGTGCGTAGTGTTACTAGCGTAATGGTTTCCATCGGCATACACATACGTACTCTGTAAACAACGTTCTCGCTTGTATATAGAAGAGTATTTGGCAGACTGGGGATCGACGAACAAGCCGAAAGAAGTTAGTCGACGAGAAACACGCATTTATTATATGCTGGTTAGCATTTAATTAAAAAAAAAAGTAGATATAGTCAACGGTCTTACAGCATCGATTAATATGGTGCGACCTCCACTAACTATATTCCAGTATTCACAACGTTAGCAGTCACATGATAATTGCTTCTTCATTATTATTACAGTCAATTATTAGTAAAACTTGTTACTATTACAATTGTTCAAAAACCTTTGAAACGATTTGCCTATACTAATACCGTCTAACTGCATATTCAATTTGCTTGGATCTATAGGCATCCATACCGAAAAGACCAATCATCGAATGGCTTTTCGATTGGATTTCTGGTTCATATCCAGTTTCTTCACCTTCAGATTTTTCGGGAGTCGAACTTTGCTCAGCATGTAAAGTTCAAACGATTCAATGTCTTTCTTCTTTGAACGTCGTCCCATTTTTCACTCTACAAAGACGCGTTCTTATTGGAGTTTTTTGTGTCACGTGTACAAGTGCCATATAAAAATTTTTTGATCATATTCATTGAATTTCTACTATTACATAGCAATGGTTTGAACATTCAATTACGAATAACATGAAAATGCAGAAATTTCAATAGAAAACGGCTCCATTGCAAGCTAAAGCTTGTCTATAAAAGCGTCGCGACTAAGCGGTCCGAGCCAATATTAGAATGCCCGAGCCCACGCAGTAATTTTCTGGCGATAATCGTTCAATGCGATGGTACCAGAAAGTTTTTTGCTACATTTTGATGAAGGTAAGCCACCGCCACCAAAGAAAACATTTACTGCAGTAATAGAGTCCGTTATGATGACAGTTTGCTAAGTTTTGTATTGTTCGTTTTTGTACGAACATATGACAAAGACATTAAATGACTACGTACGGTATCTGACTAACGAACCATGTCTCGAGCGTAAGATATTTTCTGACGATAATTTATAGGAATTATGCTAACTTTTGCCAGTTTATTTTTTTACGAATATATTACTGTCACTATGTCAGAGTCTACAGAGTAGCGAAACGTTCATTGAAACGCGGAACGAAGTTGCCGGATTTTTATAAACAAACCGACTTGTCTACCGATGATGGCTTGTTATAGTTCAAGACATGGTGATGAGAGCTGTGCACTGCCTATTGTAATGGTATGTTTTATTAATCTAGCGAACAGAGACCGTTCAAAATTGCAAAATGGATGATGATACCGAAGAATGCTTCTTCGATCCGCGATATTGACCAAAAGACCCTAACCCAAGAACAGCGCATGTTATCGTTATTGCAACTAGTTAGTATTTCGACAGCTAAAGGTCAGAAATGGTGCAGATGAAACATCATTTCGCACAGTTGGCATATATGGTTGGCACATTTTGTATTAATGTAGTATTAATATGACGAGTTATGGATACCGCTAAACGTGCGTAACAATATCATGGAACGAGTGGCGATAGATCTTCGAAGGATATGAGTGTATTGATGGTTCACTGCTTCGCTGTACCTCGTGCAAACTTTGGGAGAGAAGTTCGCCGTCGCGCTTGGTAAACAGTGGAAGGAACTAACGTTTTAGTTCTTGTGAGAGTTTTAGAGATATCCTTCAAGCGAAAGATCGAGCATGTGCGGGCTCTGCTTTTATCGATCTAGTTCTTTTATCGCATCTTGTCGACATTCTAATTATGAAGCGTTTTAAATACCATTATCCAATGTTCAAATGAAGGCAACCACTGTGAAAATAGAGTATGAAAAACGCGCATTATCCGGCCAGGGCTGAAATTGACAATGAAGTTTCACCATCCATCGAACAGAGCTTGAATGTAGCTACGCGTTTTTCAGCTAAACGTGCACGATTTAATTTCGATATCTTTTTAACTCAAACATATTTATTAATAATTTATTTATTAGAGGGAAGTAAACCCTTGAATAATTACAAGTTTGTTCAATGAGCCTTTGAGTCACTTGCAATGTGAAAAATAAAGGTTTTGCGTAAAATTATATGTCCTTTTCTTAAGAAACACGCTCCGTCATTACTTTTGCCCAGCACTGTAATAATTAAAACACAAAATATTAATAAATTAATATTAACAATCACGGAAGAAATTAAACCGTCTAATTTTTTCCTATTTAAAAATCTTTGCCTAGCGATGACATAATTATCCATTAGAATGGCTTACCTAGAGATATAGTCAATGAAACAACGCATCTCAGAATAAATTCTCGTGCATCATATACACGTGAAAGAGACAGATATGCCATTTCCAAGTAACATTACAATTTGACATATTTAAAAGCTTTGCCCTTGCTCTCCATATTTACAGTGCCATTAATGGATACATCCAATAATCCGGTTGTCTTTGTCAGTTGTTACATAAATATGGCGGACATTATGATATAGACACGTGGACAAGACGAAAGTTAAAAAACGTGACTTTATTTCGCACATGACCTATCCAGAATGTGTTGCTGCGCTTGATAGTAAACGCAAAAGTACAGAGTAAAACCTAAAAACACCACCCAACAATACTGGCGATCTCGAAGTGTCAGTCGCGATCTTTAGGTGCAAGCTGGTAGATCACTTACCAGTCAAGACGATCTAGTAATTTATTACGAGAAATTCTTAGATCACTCGTTAGACATGGCTAAGAAACGTACAGAGTCTTTGAAGCAGGCTCTGTCTATTCCGACAACAAACAAACCTATTACGGAAGACAATTCTGGTTCGCTACTGAGTTACAAGAACAGGTATTAATGTTTTAACCATGTGTTTTTTACATAATATATAATTTTAGACTGTAACATATCATATACAGCGGAGTTTCACTACTCTCGCTGACACAGTCTCGACAAGCCTGGACGACATCAGCTTTTCGTAGATTTTCGCATAAGCAAGAAATAGAGTTTAAACCGAAGCTTCCGGACAAAACAAATCCTAATCCACAACTCACCATACTTGGGAAATGCACAATTAACATTGGGCCACACACATTTCGAGACACTCGTTTGATAGAGGTCGTATATGAGAAAATTCGAGATCCTGTTGAACAAGGCACATCCGGCACGACACAGTTACCCACACAAACGCAAAATCAACCAGAGCATAAGCCATCACAACCACCTCTGCCCATTGCCATAAGGCCACATATGAGAGTACAGCCACAGACCCCAACACCCATTGCACCACAAGCAAGTGGGAAACCACTTATTACTACTTTACAACGAATAAGACCAATAGCCGCATCGCCTGCGACTACCACTACTTCCACGAATACATCGTCCGCTGCTCCCACTTTACAGGGTACTCAGATAACCGCGTTTATGCAGACAGTAATGCAGTCTGTAAATCCTAACCAGATAGTGCAGCTACAAGGCTTACTTCGACAACAACAGTCGGGAATACCGTTGAGTTCAGAGCAAAGGAGTGCGTTGCTTCAGCAGTTGAACACGTTACATCAGTTGCTCAGTCTGGCACAACCGCAATCGCCGTCACAACCGCAATCTCAATCGCAAACGCAACCGCAGTCACAATCGCAATCACAACCACAAGTTCAGCAACAATCGTCAGTGCCGATACAGCCGCAAACATCGGATCAACTACAAATGCTACAACAATCACAACAACGGCAGTCAACCCAGACACAGCAGTTTAGTACCCATTCGGTAGCATCTATTTCCAGACAACAGTCGCCGTCAATCAAACCTAGAGAGATTGTGCGTCACGACGTTCTTCTCGAGTTTAAAGAGAATAGATGTGATAAATGGTTGTTTCCCAAAAATGCTATTCTGGAGGCTATCACAATATCTGAACCATACGAGGCGAGTGCTACTTCGATGTGTATATTAGTAGATCTAAGGAGGGCTTACTAGTCAATGTTTCCTTTATACATTATGCTTGTTTCCACATCGTTGCTGATTCGGTTATTGCGATGTTCAGGTGTTGGCTAGCTTCTATCTTCCAGATGCTGCAGACAAGCCAAGTTCGCGGCAGAAGTGTCAGGCAGTCACAATGCAATTGTCTAATCTCACGCAAGTCATGTGGGATGCATTAAGGAAATCAACAAACGACATCTCTGCCGTCTACAAGTCTATGGTTGAAAGAGTAAGCGATCAAGTCAATTAGGAGAAGTGTTTAATGGATTCAAAAACTAACGCAGTTTGTTATGCTATATTAGGCAACGCATCAACCCAATCGAGTATACGTTCAATACCGACTGCCTTGCGATTACCCTGAAGAGCTTCTTGAGGTATCAATAATAGCTTCAAAAAATATTGGTGCAGTGACATGAAAAAAAAATTATAATAACAAATTGTGTTTTATACAAAAGAGTTTTGCAAATAGGGTAGCAAGGTTAGATGGAAGATTGATCATAGACACTGTATCGGGAATAACAAAGGGTGAGCGAAAGCGAAAGGCCGATAAAGGAAAAGCTGACGCAAACGTAGAAGTCACCTCAAAAGACGAGAAGGGTAAAGGAAAACAGAGAGAGAGGGAAAAAGAGAAGAATGAAGAGGAACAGTCGGATAGTGTATGTGTTCATGACTCGTAACACAATTGATGTTTATGATTGCTGCATTCTAACTTTATCTTATGTTAGCCTGAACAGTCTCCCCCAAAGAAAAGGAAAAACTCTACAAAAGCATCTGAAGGTATTCATACTATTCTTTTGAGTTTCTGCGCCAATACTGTCTTTGTCACGTGAATTTTATAATCTTCCATACTGTTCATCTAGTTCGATCACCAAAGACATCAAACACCCCCAAAAAAACCAAATCTACGCAAGAAGCAAGCTCATTGTCCCCTGCAATATCTCAGCCGCCCAGCCATGCATCATCCAGTGGTAGTAAAAGATGTGCATATTGTGGAAGCAAAACCACCCCAATGTGGAGACGAGGACCAGACGGTGCTGGTACATTATGTAATGCTTGTGGTGTAAAATGGAAACAGGGCAAGATAATAGTAAAAGCTACTGGCGCATCAGCAAACAATACAAACAATGATGTACAAGCGCAACCACAGACGACCACCAAATCTAGGAAACAATCAGTATCGGCTGGTTCCGCTTCTACCACGACGCTAAGGAAAAAGAGTGCACGATCATTGAGTGTAAGTGAAGGCGCGGCATCGCATACTGATGAGGATGATGGTCGAGTCCAGAGTGGTAGCAGTACAGCTAGGCCATCGGTTCAAAGAAGAAGGACGTCACTCAAGAGAGCTGTTTCTAAAGCCGAGTCTTCCGCAACGGCAACAAGCGGAGCATTATCGGCTGCTCATTCATCACTCCCAGCAATTTTGGGAGGTGATATAGTGGATTCACCGGATACAAGTACACCTGAAATTTTAAACAGTCCCTTGCGATCGCCTGGCGATCAGTACAGCAGCAATACGTCTATTCCGGCAGTATCATCTATCATTTCGCAACCACGTGTTCAGGCGAATACTTCAATGATTTCGATATATCCTCTTAATCTAAAGTTGTTTTCCATATCGTTTGGTCCAAACAATGCACATTTCACGCAGCCGAATTGTTCGGTAGCCCTGTACCAGGAATACTTCAAAATAAAATTAAGCAAAGAAGGATTCGATAGGACATCCATCGATATTTGGAAAGATACTATTGAGGATATTCAATATTCATCTGAGATTGATCCGGTCACAAGATCACCCTTGTTGGTCTTTAAAGCAAACGTTGGACAATATTTAACAAGGTAAAGAAAGTGTAAATTCCGATAATTATCATTTCGTGATATTTGGTAGTAAACGAGGCATGCATAGCATATTCAGTGTGTAAACTCCAACATTTTAGAGAGGAAGACATTAATGTTAACACTGCAAGTTGATTCAAATCTAAATATATCTTCCCTTTTTCTTCTAGATTTGATCAAGAGCTTCTTAGTCCCGATCGAAACGAGACGCTTGTCATATTTAAATGTGTTAATATGCCAACCACAGGAGACAATTCTGGAGCTAATGATCTTAAAATAATATTGCAAAGTTGGTTTGTCAACCAGTCTTAGATTTGGGAATATGGACATATGGAGCAACATTATCTCCATAAACTTTCAAAACTGAACACAAAATACTCTAATAAATCAATAATATAGAAAGAATAGGTAGTAAATTATAATTCACTACATTTGGATGTAATAATTTAGTATTTTCTCTTGTCTATGCTACATATACGAAAGTATCCTTGTTTTCTTTACTTTTTCCAATGTACTGTTTGTCTAATAGTTGGTCCAAACAATTGTCAATCATTTGTATGTCGGGAGAGAAGCGTGACTTTGCCTGGACAATAACCTCGCTAACTAGTTGGGCATGAGTCAATACACGGCGAGACTTCATCACTCTGACAATTATAGCCTATGGAAAAATGATATAAATATTAGAGTCAAAGAATCATCCAAAGGCTGTTGTCATTAAACCGAAATTAATCTGCAAATGATAGTTTGGTTTAGTCAGGTAGACGCTCTTTACAATACCTGTATGTAGAACTTTCTATCTTCGTAGACAGATTTGTGAGTGACGTCCGATTCCTGTGGACTGTCGCTTTGCAGAGACGAAGTTATTTTGATCTTTGTTCTTTTGCTGTATTAAAAACCAAGCAATCGGATAACATTAATAACTCTTCCACAGTGGCCAGTGAGAGATAACGATTGAAACACTAACTTTGTGAATTTCATATTTAATCGAAGTTCGCTATCATCGGTAATTGCGCCTGGCTCAACTATAAATACTGCGAGATCTACTAACGGCTAGGAAATGGGAAAATAAGTGCACTGAGAACCAAGCAGCTTGAGTATGATTTCATGCGTATAACCAGTAACTTACTTTAATAATTCTCCTCACTTCGGCATCATTTAATCGAGTGTGTTCTTTGATGTCTTTTAGTGTCAATACATCAACATTATTAAATAAAAGTAATACACCCAGTTGATGTAATGATACAGAGAATTCATATCTTCTGTCGAGATAAGTCAATTTGACGTCAGCTAAAAGGCAAAGCAGAAAATTAGCGCACAAATCCGAATACAGAACCACTCACGAGAATTAAAATGTCTTACCTTTTGATAAATGCCATAGCCACGTCAATTTCCTTCCACTGTGGTGATTGTTGTAGAACGTGGTGAAGTAGGATACGCTCTTTTCTAACTGTCATATTATATACACATGAACACGCTTTCCTTATCAATTATGTACGATTTTTTATATTTACCTCAGATGGTAATTGAAATTCAATAGCTGCTACTTGAGTCAGTGGCCATGCGCCGGCGGTCAACACAAGTATCCCGAAATCAACTATAACAACAAGCATGACAATGACATTAGTTTCCTTAGAACCATTACACGTTAATCAATCCATGATCTGGTATATATTACCATCAAGCGAGAGTGAACTTTGACCGAGGAAATCGTTAAAGTTGTTATTAATGTCGGTACTGACTGTGACATCTGTGAACATACGCTGCAATTTACCAGTATATTCCACACCACATATAACCTATTAAGAAAGAATATTTTCACGGGTAGTGTTATTAGATGACATATTTCAGGTTAATTATCAAGTCCGATATGCTTAATTGGGAAACATGTGCATATCAATGGGTACTTGATGTTAATGTATCGTCTAACCTTCAATCTTGATATCATGTTGCCTTCCGTTTCTTCAGATGAAGAAGTGTTATAAATAAGCCTCTTCGCTAGCATGCGGGAATAAAACTTCTGGAATATATCCTTATCGTCAACATATTCTAAAAGTATAATCTAAGATATGTCGTATATTATTGTCAATAACAATACTTTGTGATGTGCTATGGCCATCAAGTATAGTGAATTTTACCGCTTGGCTTAATCTCTCTTCGGCATCATTCTCAGTGAGACCAGCACGTTGATTTTTCCTCAACATATAGTCACAATACCTAGCAAGCACTTCTGGAGCGAGTGCAGCTGGATTCATAGACGAGTCATTGACTACAGTACGGAATGCCTTGTCCAATGCAGCAACAAAGGCGGAATCATTAGAGAAGACTTTTTGACATATGCGGGAATACTTTGTATGCAGTGATACTAATGATTCTACGTAGTCCCGAGAATCCTGATAAGTAGTAGACAGTGTATTAATACAGTAATTATGACAATATACTGTAAATTAAAATAATCGGATAACAGTACCGGCCTGCTCATACCTTTGCTATCGAGTTTCCCATATTAATTATCAGTTTCTTTCCAAGATTTGCCACATATTGCTCAAAAGTCTCCAACAGTTTGCTAACTCCGCCAGGTATACGCGATAAAAGAGCATAAGCTAACGAACAATCTATAAATCCATCAATGTTAAATATATTATTCTTGCACGTTTCAAATACATTGCTTGTTCAAAATTACCTTCATATTTCTCATTGGCTACCATAGATTCAAACTCAGCATGAATACGTGATTGATACAAGGCAACATACTGAGTCTCACATTCTTTTATTATCTGAAAGCAGGTTTATTTGATCAGCGTAAAGACCCACCAAACATTCAGTTTCGCAAATATCAAGATGTAAGTAACTTACTGTCTCATGTGATGTATGATGACAATATTTACTGTTCCTGGCTGCCTCTTGTTCCAATCTCAGATGTGCCTAATTGATTAAGGATGGTTATTTTCCGACACTTTTAATACCATTCTCTCAACCTCACCATACCTGCTTCATGTACTCGGAAATGCTCTTGCTGGAAATAAATGCTGCTGCTTCCCGTTCATAATACTTCCTGGTCTGCTTTAAATACGGATTCTCAAACTCCTCAACGTACAAATACAGCGGTCTGTCTGTCAAGGAATTCAATTGAACTGTCGAGAAAGCAGTATGGTTGGTTGGGGGCGAAAGTGAGGAAATAGATCGCTGATAGGAAATTAATACTTAGTTCTAAGATGACAATATAAAAGGTTGTGTGATATTGATAAAATAAAGAGCCAAGGGGGAAAAAAAGGGAATGGTGAAAGCGCTCGATGAACAAATTAAATAAGAGCACTGCAATATTAGTACTGTGAAGCCTATTATAAAATAATCCTAGATATAACGTAGTCGCTCATGTAGCCATTTCTCCCAAGTATGTCAGTTCCGATAATCAATTTACCTAATGAAGCGATAGCCTTCTGAACTCCGTCTGGAACACTATCTTCGCCATCGCGATCTCTACAAATCAACTCGAATATCTGATGCATCAAACGGTTTCCGTGAGCAGTCTTGATAGTGTATACTACACGTTCTTTCCAGATATAGTGAGCCAACTGACAGTATTGCGATGAAAAAGAATGAAAGATCAATCCACAAAGTCAGCATAATCTACGCCAATATTAAATGATACTCTAGATCACAACTATACAAACTGGTATATCATATGACACTTGTACTGCAAATGCAATATTGTACTGACCGCTTGAATAGTTTGTCTCCTGTATCTCCCATCACCAACAATTTGGCGACGCTCTGCGCCCGGAATGCCTCCGTCTTTTACTTTGATAATATGGCCATTGAGATAATCGCACATTAGACTCGAGTAATAACTGGCCAGTCTGTAATGCTCCCATTCGGTAGTGTATGCGGTCACTATGTCATTATGTTTCAGAATAGACTGAAATACATTCGCGAACATTTAGAGTCGTAAGCAACATAAAGTCGATACGCGTATTCTATTAACTATTAGATTGACTCCTACCATACAAATTCTCGAAGTACAATCTTCCAAAAACTTTGCAATCGCGTTGAACAGCCTCTCGGTATGTGGTTTAGGAGATGCATTACACATGTCATACACCAATCTGTATGCGAATTAACACATTGATGGCAATGGTCAAGGAGACAACATAGAAGCAACAAGAAAAAACCAAATAGACCGAAAGAAGTAAAAAACTATGGAAGCAAAACGAAGGAGATCTGACAATAAAATAACAAATAGTAACTAATGGCAAACTAAGCAAACTTTTCATCTTGGTCAGTGTGAAGGATACTCATGCATATACATCCCAGAGACTTTGTCAAGTCCGCTGAAATCGTACAGTTTGTCTAAATTTCTCTTGAGTTCTTTAAAAGCTTCATCGAAGTTGATGCGCTTTGGCCTAAGCGACATCTTATATGGTAAGTAATTTTATAAGAGTATCTTGAACGAGTTAATATAACAATAATGTTATTATATTCTGTAATAGTAATAGTGATAGCAATTAATTGCTACTGAAATACAGATTTGCCCGGCGAAGGATCCAAGTCATGTGACATAAGCGTAGGCTTAAGAGACATGTCCCTCATACTCATACTCTGAGTGCTGTTTCATAGTAAAGTTACACAAACAAATTATTTGCTTTGACGTTAACATGAATTTTTCGTGAGATATTAA